GTTCGACCGGGCAAAAAAAAAATTAGACGACTGGGCCAAACACAAAATCGGAGAAAAAAACATAACACATTTTAATAGAAAGGAAGCCTATGGTTACGACCAATTCTTCCCGGATACGTCACGGACTGTAGAAGTACATGGCCGGGGCGACGGAGCGCCGCGCACGTGTTAATAATCCAGATTTTGATTTTACACTATTAGCGGGCACGCCCCACCACGCCTAGACTCGATTATTGTTTACTTGTTAACACACTACTGTGAATCCCTAACCTTTGTGCCTCCCACCTATCGTCGATATTAACACGACGTTGCAGTAAAACAAGACTCGGACGCAAGGTAAGAAAATGTACTAGGTCACTCACGTCCCGAGCGCAAAGACGCGCCGTGTGCTCGTAGGTCATGCTCGTACGTCATGCTAGCCAGCCGCCGATCTCAGTGGAACCCCGGCCGAAAATAAATACCCCCGTAAGAGTTAAAACACAAATTCTAAGAGGGTTGGTAAGATTTAAAAATGGTCTGCAAGCCGTGAACGTTCCTGGTCGTCGTAACGTAACATGAATATAACATGGCAGTTGTGCCTCAACTGATGGCCAGTTCTAATGCACTTTCGACTCTAGTTAACACAGAAATTTTTAACAAAGATTATATCCATGTAATGCATGCCGTTACAAAGGTTCAGTTGACAGAAATCTTTTCATTTCGTATCACGAAATCTCTTTAAATCCTAAGAAATGCTGCAGGAAAATTTATTTGGAGCGGGACTATACCAGCCAGCGGTACGAAGTGAAAATGCGGGGTATATGTACACGGCACGGTTTGCTACAATATTTGGGCCTTTGAAATCTTTTGCCGCCCGCCCGGTGGGCGGGGCCAATGCCTTTGCTGAGGGCGTGACGCCGCTCTGTCTGATATGGACGTGCCGTCGTCTTGGCAACACGTGGGAACGTCCCAGCGACGAGAAGCTTTCCACCTTTGATTTTGTGACATAAGCAGTAGTTTACGAGATATTTTTTAAAAACCTTTTCGCTCGTTCCCGTTCAGAATAGTAAGCCCTAGTAGCCCCTCGTTCTTGTTCGTTTGCATCAAATTTTAAATTCGGTAGCACAGGCTCACTCCTCCGCAATCGAATTTTTATTAACTAGCTACGCCGAGCTAACTTTCCGTGGTCCGGCCAGGTTACAGCAGGCAAGGTGGCCTCATTCAATGTGTGTCTTCCGCTGACACCCGGCGCTCCAGAATTTAGTATTGTCCTAAAAATTTTGTGAACTCTTGAAAATGGTAAACACGTGCGCGGCGCTCCGTCGCCACGGCCGTTACTTCACATGTTGTCACATTAGTGTTATCCGTTAGTGTATTTGAGTGCTGCGATGTTGTGACCGCGCGTTCCCCGCGATCGGAAAATGATTCAAGTGATCCGGTCTATAAAGAGGCGGCATTTCCTTTTGTATTTGGTTCTTTTTTTCGCTAACTTAGATGCATCGCGAACTCTTTATTTGCCCCGTTCCGTGAAATTTAGTCGTCCAAAACATAGATGCATTTTCAATATTCTATTTTCTCAGTCGTAAAATGTACCGACGCGACAGGGAGCGACAGGCACATGAATGTACTGAAAACATCAGTATTACTTCGTTGGTTATTTGCTCAGAAATGACTCTAAAATACACCAGAGAGACTCTCAATTTTAAAAATTACCTGGACGGTATTAAAAGAAACACATATAAAAATACACATTATTCCCGGGAAATATGCAAATCTTACATCACGTGTGCCTGCTACACGTCTCTGATTGGTTGAGTTTCTCTGCCGGCAAAAACAAGCGTGGGGACGCCCGCTCAAATAGTTTTCTTTGTTTGAAAATAACGCTAATTTCCACCACTACATAACGAAATTCTTGCGAATAAATGTATAACTCAAAAAGTCTTTCGGGGAAATAAATATTCTTATCCGGATTTTTGGTGTATTTGGTGTTCTTAATTCATGATCGAATGGTGCCGAAGTCAGCTAACCCTGACGCTCATGAGCGATTCGCGATCGCCTAAATATCGCTGAAGAGAACATGTTCAGATCCTGGCGATTATGTTTTAGATCGACTACGATAAAACTTCAGGGCTGTCCTCGGCAAAATCAGATGAAATTTCAGTGTCAAGCTTTGCAGGAAATTATCAAATGCCGCCGCTCGCTGACGCACGCACTCGCTCTGTGCGGGTCATTGAC